ACATATTGTGCGGTACGGTACCTGACGTAATCTGCGACCATTTCCTTAGCCCCAAGACCGACGGAGCCGAACCGATATCCCGACTTTGGCTGATTAAAAAGCCTAGAGCCTCCAATTCGTACTCCGTGCTCCGTACAACGGATACGGATAGGGGGTTCCAACCTCATCGCCCGTCGTGACGACAACCGGTCACGAGGGTGCAAATATCTGAGGACACATTTTACTCAGAACTCGGCCAGATAACGACCCCGTCTTCAGTGCTATCCGTTTCGCTCTTTCCCTAGTCGGGAACCCCACGCCGTTTCGTTGCCCCTTCCTACCGGCACAAGATGGGTCCAGCGCTTGAGCCGTGAGGTTTTCGTCCCCCGCTTCAAATGGAGTTTTCAGGTCACAAATGGAACCAGACCCATTTGGTCTTGCAAATTTTCATAGCCATTCCACCCGGCTGCGTCACCAACCTCCCCTCCTGGATCTCCACGGAGCCAGTGCAGCTTTAAGTGGTTCTGGTTCTCGTCGGCGACAAGAAGATGCAACTGCATGCGGCCTTATGCTAAGGAGACTACATAATGACCACGCCCTTGACATCCAATTTACGCGTCACGTACTAAGGCGCGACACGGAACACGACGCTCTGAAGAAGGGGGAAAAGAATCCCTTTGGGGCGTCGCCGTCGCCGCCTGCCCTTCCGCCCCGTCGCCGCCGCCTCCGGCACGGGAAGAGAGGGGAAGAGGTGGGCGGTGAAAGAAAAAAAAATCGTCAAGGACGTGACACTAGGCGGGGTTGCGGGCTATGCATTGGAATCTCAGAAGCGAGTCGGATCCATGATAATTAGCTGCGTGCTGCAGCCGTACATGCGTACGAAGTATTAAATCCCCTAACGACTTCACTTACGTTAGTGCATCGAGACGCCAGCGGCGTGAAGAAGACCGGGGCAGACTTGACCGCGCCAGGCGACCACAAAACATACAGCGTAACTCGGCCAGGAAAAGAGCCTCATCGTCAAATCTGGACTTGGGTCGGGGACGGACCCACATAGCGGGCCGGCGTCGGTCGGTGGGACGGTGCCGTGGGTTCTTCCGGGAGTACGAATTGGCTTCGAACGAGGCCGGCGATCCCGCATCGGATTGTCGCTGTTCAGGACGCTGCGTCTCAGAGTGTAATTAATGGCTTCAGATTATGTGTCAATCTCCGACCCAAAGCGCGGTCCAATTCGATTCCAGATCGGTAGTTCGGATTCAAAGTTATCCAGTCCGAACATGCACGCACTGACCGCTAGAGTTGTGCACTCACGCCCGACTCAAGAACTTTGGCCTCGAAATAAAGCAAAAAAGTACTCAGTAAAATGCGCAACCCCACGCATATGTATTCATCCGCCCTTGAGAATCCACTCTCGTCGGGGTTTCTACTTTTTTTTCTACCATTTCGTGGTCTTGAAGTACGATGAACAATGTTGCTGTTGTTAGCACACTACACGTGTAATGCAACGGCGGTAAGGTCGTGAAAATAGTGGATCGTAGTGGGACGAGCCGCGACACCACGCCGAGGGTGTGGTACCTACGTGTACTGAAATGGTCTTAGTGCACGTGTCACCGAATGGCCACGGCGTGGCGGAAAGCAAGGGTCCCTTGCTCCCCCGCGGACACTACCGTCCCGAAGTTTTCCAGAAGTGGGGTTACCCACTCGACAAGTGATGGCAGGTGCCTAGCAATATCGCGTCTCAGCCACAGCCGCGGAGCGCGATGCGCAACGGTAACATGTGGATCTGCCATTTTCCGCGTCCACAAATCCCTACGCGTTCACATGCAGTGGTGCGGCGATCCACTACTGCATAACATAAGCATTATCAGTATGAATATTGTTGCATTTTGTGCGGTGCTCATTTCTCACATTATTACTTCCTACACAGGGAAATTCCGTCGTCGTATTTCCAGACACCGTCTGTTCACCTCCTTTGACCGTCAAATGTCGAGGATAATAGACCCACCACGGGACAAGTTACGTAGCCATACTAGCCACATAGGATTACTCATCATTCAATACAGTTTCTTCGCGACACAAAGGCACCACAAGCGAAGCGGGAAAAGGTAGATCGCACGAGATGGCTTCTGTGCTTTAGAATCGATGCGCAGGTCCTTTCCTGACACTACCAACTCACCATTAACAGTACTCGAAAGTGAGCGTTTCTATGGATACCAATCGTGTCTCTTCGCTCAGTCGTTCGCTGTTGGCTCCTTTTCTAAGGACAAACTCGTTTCCACGGCCCGTCTGCCGTTTCATTCTGGGTTAGCTTCTACTTATTTCATGGCTGCATGTGCATTGACCTCGCAATGAAAGCAGCGACACAAAGGATCGATATTGTAAGGAACTAATAATCTCCCAGAGCGAAATGCGAATCCAACATATTCGACGCATGTCCGAGCTTTTGCAGCGTGAACTTCGGTTTGTGGCAGAATGAACATATATCGTTGCATTCGGCATCGAACCACATGAATAGAGAGGAACTCGCAATTCAACTCGGGTTTGACATGGCTGCATGGTGGGCAGCCGTATTGCCATAAATAGCCCCAACCCCCGCTGTGTAATGACAATAAAGCGACCAACTGTGTCGAGTATCGTCGATTTGGCGACTTCTTTTCGCATGCGTCGAAACGTCCGACTTATCACGAAACGAGCACGGATAATTACCTCCAACACAGGGCCCCTGAGATACATACCATCAGGTCGATAGCATTCTTCATTCGACTGTAGCCCGTCCACGCAGCGTTGGGGGCGGGAAACAAACGATGCGCTCTCATAGGCCCACGTTAGCTTAGCGGCTGGAACTCATTGCGCGAATGTCCTTCGTAAGGCCAGGGTATCGCCGTATCGGACAGTCAGTCCACTGCCAGCTGGCCCCTTAATTACTGGGTGCAGCGACCGGGTACGCATAATTATAGCGAGTGTGTGCTGCAATCAAGCGGCTTCAGGGGCTGGCTGGACCACTCGAAGGTTGGCTTCGGGTCGAGATCTACAGTGTACGAAGAACTCGCAAGAGACCCTAACTTCCCGTCCAATCGGGGAGCTCATCAGCCGTGTGTCTGACTGAGCTGATAGACGCGAAACGCCAACAAACAAAATAGCCCGCCCCCAATCAATCCCATCGTGCGCATCAGCTAACATTAACCCTGCCGATCTACTCCCCTTTCGCCCAGTTAAGATAAGCCAGCCGAAGCCGAGCAAAGCTCTTCAGCCAATCTGGGACATGAAGTCCAGTTCGTCGAAGAGGCTTCTGAGTTCTGCGACAAATGTACTCCGTACACGGCGCGACCTCATGAACACATGGCCCTTGCAGCGATGCCATTATTAGTGCACGGTTAACTCAAGCCACTCGCTGAACAGCACCAAGCACAATGACGTCCCGCTGTAGTGTTCGTCTGGGCTTACCACGAAGAAGACGAAGAAGACGAAGAATGACCACATGCAACAAATTGTCTCCTGCGATGGATCCCACAAAGGCTCTTCAGAAACTTGCAAGGATCCATGGTCACGAGGCAAAAGGCCATGGCGCAACGCCGACGCAGATTACTTCGGACTTCGTATTGGTGGACTGTGGGCTCTCTTGTCGCCCCGGCTCTTCGAAGAAATGCGTGTTCCCGGGAACATGGCGACCTGCATTGTCCATCGCCGCATTTGCTTCCCGCCCCCCTGGCCTCCCGGCGGATATCCTCCTGGCTCCTCCTCTCCGCCGTCGGGGCTATTGAGATTCTCGTGTTGCATAACGAGCCTTTGCGGAGATGGCTGACGACATGCAATTGCATGGGGCAGATCCAGCCCTGTGAACCTGTTGAACCTGTGTACTAGTCGCCTATCCATCCGTAGCCGCTACGCTCCTTGGATTCTCGCCATCGGCGAGAGGTACGGGGCCCCTCGCTTTTGGCCTTTATTCGGATTCGCAGAACGGAGTTGCCTTCTTTATATCCGTGCTCAGATACGCAGGCAATTCGCAATTCGTACCTGATATCCAATTGGCCAGCAACGAACAAACCGAGTTCCTCCTGCTGAACGGCTGAAGGATGCGCCGGGGGTGGGGGTAGTCTACGATTGTCTCGTGGGAGCTTGGCTATCTCCCGTTTTGGGACCCTTTATTTCGGCTCATCCCTGGTTTAATATCGTTGACCGAAGAAACAAAACCTTTTAATTTCTGCTCATTGCCGAAGAAACCTTGCACTGCACTTCGTCACGCCTGGGTCGTTCGCGTGGGTTTCTACATATTTCCCCGCTGAAGTGATGAACCAGGCAAACGATCGTCGATTGTAATCTGAAGAAGCAAACCGACGCTTCGTTCAGAGTGAAGACTCAGCGGCATCGCGGGAGACTTCGGGGACTTCAATTGATGAGTTTAATCTTGGGCTCGGCGACCCTATCAAACGGCTCCGCCTCTCAGGTTCGCGCGGAACACGCGACAAAGGAAGACAGCCACACACACGCCATTCCCTAATAGGGCATTCACTGGAGATGACACGGTGTAACGATAGAAGCAGACGTTGGGCGTTCCCTTATTACGAAATGAAAGATCCGGCTTTGACGGCTCCGACAACGCCTGGAGCCTCCAGTCCCAGGTCTCGGCGGGATATCACATTCCCTCACCTGTTGCCATTCAATCATTGTTGTCTCGAGACTCCTAACATCTATCTCAATGAAGCGCAGCGCATCCTGAGAGGGTGACCACAACCCATCGGGCAAGACTATGCAGAATACGTTTTGTACCTTGCATTATCTATCGTACAGTAAGGTTAAGGTTCCGCCCGGTCCAGGAGAAAAAGAAAAACAAAACGCCACATGGAGCCGTTTTCAGCTCACCGGTCGCCAAGTTTTAACAGAGCCAAGCCCTATCCGTTAAGCTTATCTGCCGTTATTGGCCATGATGGTGGTGCGCCCCAAATTGTCTACCCACGAATAAGACTCGACAGACAGAGCACGCAATGGCGAGGACTTTACCCAACCAGGTATTGAATGCGCGACAAGCACCCGGAATGGATGAAGATGAAACCAAGGAGGCGGCCTCTCTTCACTGCAACTCTACACTAGGTACGTTGTAATTATGTAGCTGGATTATGTACAGCAGTTGCTGCAGGTCACCCACGTCGCGTCCCCGGCCTGCAGCTCCAAGACCGCGCCAATCCTACCTCGGACCCAACAATGAGGCATGCTTGGTAATTAGGCGAGGAGAGCTTTCGTAGGTATGAGGTCAGAATAGTGGGCGCCCCCGGGCTTTTCATTGCCGGCCGTTGGAACGAAGCAAGGCCCAGGCCAATGAAACGAACCATCGATCGCGCGAATGCTGCCCCCCCTTCTGCATGCCATGACCATGTCGGTGATACCGAACACTTTTGTTTTTGGGGTTTCTTGGTTTCTTTGAAAAAGTCGGCAGGCTGGTAAGGAGACCAGAGCATTATGCAGGCAAAACAAGGTTTTGTCAACTTTCCGGGCCTGTTTCTCCTGTTCTTCCAAGGCCCAATGAAGAGAAGGAGGGAGAGATGTGAGTTTTGTTGATCGTTCTGAATTCTCCCGGCCCCACGCCCTCGGAAACAGATCGCGTCGGAGCGAGGCTGGGGGGGGCCCCCGACCAAGCCATCGGAGGTTTCTCGTCCTGGATGGCGATCCAACTTGAGGCTTGGTTCTTTTTCCTTGCCAGGAGGAAGTTGGCACATGGGAAACGTTAGACTCTCCTTTCCGCCGCAGTGGCTGTAAACGGCACATGGTATTCTGAACAATCTCCATCTCCTTTCCCACTTGGGTAGGTGGTAGTTGTTACGTGTTTCGTTCCTTGCCGATCGGAGCGTCTGCAGTCGAGCTGGCGATCATGGTTCGCTCGATCTCTCGCCCGCACCACATGTGTTACCCAATTTAACCACTTGTTCCTTATCCTCTCGATGCTTTAGCCGACAGACAATCAGTCAGTACGCGACACGCCCATCGCTATTCGGTTTACCAATGAGCGGTGCCAATGAAAGAAGGCGGAATACTGGTACCATGTTTTCTTCTGTTCCTGGGATGCAGGATCGTCGGAGGGGAACTACATTGGCGCCAGACTTGATTTATGCGGATCCCACTCGAGGGGGGGGGGGGGGGGGTCGCTTTCCTCCACAAGCTGCTCCGGCTTCAACTCCTGCAGATGACCTTTGCCAGATGACCTTTGCCAGATGAGTAATCCCTTGAGAGTTGGGAACCAACCACACACATGTCCCTCAGTATTCCGGTGTGACAACCGGACACCAAGCCTGAGCTCAGGGGCCGCCAGATGCTCATCCTCTCTACGTGCCAACAGCGAGTCAAGACAGGTCGCAGGCTGGGTTTGCTGGCATGAATTTCACGATCAGGTCTGGGATGCCTTTGACCCATGTGCCTCGGTTGTGACATGGAGATGCACCGCACCACTCTCGCCCCATCATGGCTTCTTTTGTCCAGCATTCAACCGTGTAGCAATCCCCGATCTCCTAGGCAGGCCTGAAGCGAGCCTTTTTTTTCGGCATTTGTGCTGTTATTTTCCACGGTATAGGATTCTGAAAGTATCCATGTAGGCGAAGTAGCATATTATGTTCGCATACAGAGAAGCCAGGCGAGGTACCATTGATCGAGACAGTGCCGCCAGATGGCCGAGCTAGCGGTAGATGGAGGGCTGACAACATCCAAAGACAGGAAAGGGCCTGAGGATGCCGGTGGAGAGCTCGACTCCGGAAGAGTTGAAACAAGCCATCCATCCAGACGCGATTCTCGTTATCCCGCAGGAGCCTCTTGGCCCCGTTCCCGACGTCTGATGCAGAGTCCAGGGCTGGCCCTCATGGACGTTTTGGAGAAGAAGAGACAATTTGAAGCCATGCCGACTCATAAGCCCCTGCTGCTTGTGAGAACCGCGGTGGTGGAAGCATGAGGCCCTTTCTTCCGTCCTCGACAACAAGGGATCGCCGAGGCGCGCCGCCAGAAACGACCGGAAAAACGACGAGCCGTGCTGTAGACTGCAACAAGTACGATCAGGCAGTGGAAAGGCAAACCAAAACATCCCGGCTTTGGTCTGGTTTGTCAGGTCACGTTAGTACTTTATTTTAGGGAGTTGGGAGTCCGTCCACCAACCGGAGCAACAAAGGTAAATCGAACTCGTCACGATGGTTGCGGCTGGTGAAGCAGACAGATATCAAGACGATATTGTGCCAGTGCCAGTGCCAATTTTCATCTCTTATACAATCGTATTGCTCGGTTAAAGACATATTGTTCCCAAAATAAATCGTCGGATGTTCCCGGATGGGTTGATGGAAGGACAAAACGACACCGAACTTGAAGCTGCACATACCGTGTATATCTGGTGGACATTTTCCCTTTTTGGGTAGCTGACTAATATCTTGGTAATTGATATCCTTGGACATTCGGAGCCGAAACTTTCGGCTCCAGCCGTCGGGGTCGCGGACAAGTTAAAGACCCCGACAGAAGCCCTTTTTTTTGCCTTGGGGTTGGTAGGGGGAAATTCTTCCCAGGCGATGGTCGCCCTCTTGGCTTTGACGCCACATCAGACCTTCCTAGCATCAAAAAGACAAGCATGCCAAGTACTTGACGGCAGGAGGCACGAGGACGACCATCTCGCTCTTTCCCTTTCCGACAAGAGAGCATGGCCGACCGGGAACAACATCAGCAACTTGCTGGTGCTGCTGCTGGTGGTGCCGACGCTGACGCCGACGCTGACGCTGGCAAAGGCCAACACACGATGTTGAGATCCGATCGCGACCTCGAGGCTGCCACGACAGAATCGCAGCCACAGACCGACCTGGAGAAAAACATCGACAATTCAACAGGCGACGTCGACTCTGGTGCGTCTACAGATTCCAAAGTGGACCGCGATCCGAATGTCGTCGCCTGGGATGGACCCGATGACCCGGAGAATCCTCTCAACTGGCCAGAGAGCCGTAAATGGCTCGGACTTGGCCTCATCTCAGCCATGACTCTTGTGACGTGAGTGAAACTGGACATGTCCAACTCATGATGCCTCGACTGGACAAACGGTTGCTGACCTCTGCGATACAGGCCACTGGTGAGCAGAGAACTCATCCGATCTTTGACCGTCTTCCTCGTGAGATCCAGAGCCCGTCAAAGCTAATGGGTTTTGGTACCGCCTAGGGCTCCTCGATGTTCGCGCCAGGCATTCCCGGCATCATGGTCGAGTTTGGTGAGAGTTCTGCGACAGTCGCCACCTTTGTGGTCTCGGTGTACGTTCTCGGCTTCGCATTTGGTCCTCTTGTCGTCGCCCCTCTGAGTGAGACATACGGCCGGGCACCTCTCTACCGCTGGGGCAACGTTCTTTTCGTGGTCTTCTCCGTGGCCACCGCCCTTTCGCGGAACATGGACATGATGATGGCCTTCCGCTTCCTCATGGGCCTCGCCGGCTCCGTCCCCCTCACCATCGGAAGCGGCAGCATCGCCGATATGATGCCGATCGAGAAGAGAGGACGGGCCATGGCGGTATGGGCTCTTGGCCCCCTCATCGGCCCTTGCGTCGGTCCCGTTGCGGGTGGTTATCTCATCCAGGCTGCCGGTTGGGAATGGGTGTACTGGCTGGTTGCTATTCTTGTGCGTTCTCGTTTTCCCTCTTGTAAAGATGGCAGACCCAAAGTCCACTGACGATTTGCATGGTCCCCCCCACATCAAATAGGCCGGCATCTTCATCCCCCCCTCCTTCTTCCTCATGCGGGAGACCTACCATCCCGTCCTCCTTCAGAGGAAAACCAACCGCCTCCGCAACGAAACCGGCAACACCGAGCTCCGCAGCGCACTCGCTTCCAAGGAGACACCGGCGGAAAGGTGGAAGAACGCCATCCTCCGGCCGCTCAAGCTTCTCGTCTTCACCCCCGTCATCACGCTCATGGCGCTCTACGTCGCCATCGTGTACGGCATCATGTACCTTCTCCTCACCACCTTCTCGTTCGTCTACGCACAACAGTACGGCTTCGACGAGGGCACAGTCGGCCTCACCTTCCTCCCGGCCGGCATCGGCATGATGATCGGCGTGGTGCTCTTCGGGGGGTTCACCGACTTCCTCGTCAAGCGCAAGCAGGCGCAGGGCGCCGAGCTCAAGCCCGAGGTGAGGCTGACGCCGGCGCTCGCCATGCCCTGCGCCGTGGCGCTGCCCTTGGGACTCTTTTTGTACGGCTGGACCACGCACTACGCCGTGCACTGGGTCGTGCCCATGGTGGGCGTGGTGATTTTCAGCTGCGGCCTCATGGGCGTCATGATGTGCGTCCAGAACTACCTCCTCGACGCGTTCCCGCAGTACGCCGCCTCGGTCACGGCCGCCCTGGCTGTCCTCCGGTCCCTCGCTGGTGCGCTGCTGCCCCTTGGCGGTTTGGAGATGTACAACGACCTCGGCCTCGGGTGGGGGAACAGTCTCCTGGGCTTCATCTCCGCTGCTATGATTCCTCTTCCCCTCTTGTTCTTCGTGTTCGGCGAGCGCATTCGGGGACGCACGAAGCTCAGGGTATAATCACTGGGGGGGGGGGGCTTCGCTTACAATTTTTTTTTAATTGCACTTGTATAAATAGACTTTGGGACATGTAAACAAGGTACGTTAGACAGTGGACAATAGAGGTACAGAACAGAGACATGAAATAATAATTCTAGAGTTACCAACTCGACTGATGAGTCTGCTGGTCGCAATGGTAAGCTTGGAAAGGAGATTCTCGCCTCTGGGGACCCCCAAATTTCAATTACCCCGTATATTATTGCTGTGTCACACTCGTGGGGGAGTACCGTAGCGCGGGATGCACGCGGGATGACAGGCGGGATAGGGTTCTATTAGGCCAAGCCCAGTCTCTCAACGCCGCCCTAAAATGGTACTAGCGCTTCACGATAGTCCAGGTGACAGGGCCCACTGTCCGCTCACCGACCGGCTGGGTACGTTGTACCTCACACTAGTCCACCATCCACCATCCACCTTATTACCCTTGTTACTTCATGTCCTCCTGACAGGACTAGCTTTTCCTTCCCTTCCATAATTACTTCATTTCCAGCGCAACACTTTTTCTTGCTTCGTCTGTATCCAGCTTTCCATCATCGTTTCCTTTTTTTCTTCTTCTTTTTTTTCTTGGTGTTTTATGCTGTTCTGAAGCCAATATTCAAAGACGTCATCTCTTACCGTATCCCTGTTCCCCCAAGACCAACTGATCGGCCGTCTCTGATACGGGAATTCCGCGACGCGAGATATCGGTCAAAACTTCATCCTCGATCCAATTTTTTTTGGCCTTTCTCATCGCTCACTCGAGACTCGTCAGAAGAGGATCATTCCTTTAGCCTCTACCGTTGTATACTCACTTCTCCTCACCGCCAACACATCAACCATAGACTAATCCGTCATCATGCTCGGCTGGTAATTACTGCGACCTGTCTCTCATGTCTTGTATTGTGTCCATTGACTGATGGCTCATCCTATCTTGTCAGGTACCAAGCACGTCTGGCTGCGCGGCCTCTGCTCACACAGAGTATCACCACAGCCGTTCTCTTCGCAACGGGCGACACCATCGCCCAGCAGGCCGTGGAGAAACGCGGCGCGAAGAACCATGACATGGCCCGTACCGGCCGCATGGCCCTCTACGGCGGAAGTGCGTTGCCCATTCCCATAAAGAATACCGCATCCAAACGTGCGACAAAACGACGCAAAGAAAAAACGGAATTGCTAATTCGTCCATCGTCTAGCCATCTTCGGCCCCGCGGCCACGACCTGGTTCAAGTTCCTCGCCCGCAACGTGGTCATGAAGAACAAGACGGCCGAGACGGCGGCCCGCGTGGCCTGCGACCAGCTCATCTTCGCCCCGACCTTCATCGGCGTCTTCCTCTCGTCCATGGCCGTCCTGGAGGGCACCAGCCCGCGCGAGAAGCTCGACAAGAGCTACGCATCGGCGCTCAAGACCAACTACTTCATCTGGCCCGCCGTGCAGGGCATCAATTTCACCTTTGTCCCGCTTCAGCACCGCGTCCTCTTTGTCAATGTTATTAGCATTGGCTGGAACTGTTACTTGAGCTACCTCAACAGTTCATGAGGGAGTAGTTGCTCTCCCTCCCTCCCTCTCTCTTTGGTTCTTTGGGCGAGTAGCGTGCTACTGGGTCACTCTCAACTTTTCCTACGTTCACCGGTTACTGGTTCGGCATTTGCAATACATAGATCGGTCCATAGTGGCTAGCACCGCACGGCACACTGGGGAGCAGGCATGGCATGGCATGACATAGCACGCATGCATGATAGGTCTAGATCTTGCGTTTCTTTTTTGTGTTACCAATGGCACTATTTTCTTTTTTTCTTTTTCATATCGACATTATGTGCCTGTCTTTCGAGTAAACACCGCTATTTGATTGGCATCCCTTCTTCCTCTTTGGCTGCACATTGTGCTTCCTAGCATGTCAGTGGAATCAAAGAAATGCCCGACCTCGGTGCGTTGTCCGAGAGTATATGAAATCCTGAGACGGGTGATGGGAAACAGGAGCTGCCAGTAGTCGATTTATTCGCATCTGGATAAGGTAGGAAGACTGTCGGACTAAAGTTACCTAGGTCATTGTTCCTGGCAGCCGATCTTTCCACGTTTCCCCGCAGTATGAGGGGTCTTTAACCTTGTGTGGTCAATACATAACTTACCTTACACCAATAAGTCAAGTATGTGTAGACGAAACGGCAGGGTAGCCTCCTCCTCCTCCTTCACCTCCACCCTTCTAACATGACTACCTCCAGCCTTCTGGACCGTCTTAACAGAGACGGTTTCGTCATCGTCCCCTCGGTCCTATCACCCCAGGAACTCACCATACTCCACGAAGCGACCCAAAACATCACAGCGCTCGCCCGGGCTGGGAAATGGCCCCATGTACGCACCCTCCCGAAACAATTCCCCCCCTGGCCCAAGGTTAAAAACCCAGATAATCCGCCGACGGAGGGCATCTGGGGGGTCCAGGGCCTGATGCACCCAGACCTGCCAGGCAGCGCCCTCTTCGTGCGGACCTATTTCTCCGACGCCGTGGTCGGGCCGACCAAGGCGCTGCTCCAATGCGGTGACGACGACCTGGTCATGGAGCTCTTCAACCTGCTGGTGCGGCCCGACGCCGACTTTTCTCTACGGTGGCACCGCGACGACATCCCCGCGACGGCGACGGCCGAGGAAGAGCTGGCGCGGCTCCGGCAGCCCGCCTTCTCGGCGCAGTGGAACCTGGCGCTCTACGACGACGAGAGCCTCGTGGTGGTGCCCGGGTCCCACGCGCGCGCGCGCACCGTGGCGGAGCGGGCGGCTGGCCCTTACGAGGACGACGTGCCGGGCCAGATGAAGGTGACGCTCCGTGCCGGGGATGCGGTGTTCTATAACAACAACATTCTGCACCGCGGGGTCTACGAGGCTCGGAAGGAGAGGATGACGTTGCATGGCAGTGCCGGACACGTGGAGGGAAGCACGCTCCGGGCTCGGAACGTGCTGCAGCATGGGCTTAAGGATTGGGTGGATCGGGCGGACCTGAGTGCTCTGGGGGAGAGGGAGAGAGGGAGGGCGGAGCACATGCGAGAGATGCTAATCAAGATGGGACGAGAAGTGGGGGAGCTTGGCTTTTCTCTTGAAGAGTGAGCAGAGGAGCAAAGGAGGGGGGTTCGGGAAGCGAAGATCACGAGATGAATGGGAACCCGACTTGCGGGCAGATGACCTTAGTTGGCTTTGTTCTTCCGATCTCTAAAGGTACCTTAGATTAGGTAAGGTAGATATGTACCTTACACGGTAGATTGTATCACGTAACAAGGCTGGTGACTAAGCGACCTCGGTTGATGCCTCAGGCGTGGCCTATCAGGTGGCTCGAGCCAAGTCTTGTGCATCTTTTCGCTACAGCCAAATCCCAGGATCGGTCGAACCTCACCTTTTCGAGTCTTTGACCCCCAGCGGCAAAAAACAACTCTTTTCGCATCGTCACCGAATGCCTCCTCTGGCATTCCCTTCCCCTTTGACCGTTCCGCCTCTACTTTACCTAGACGTGCGCACTCGGTGACAGAAACCATGTGGCCCTCGGTGCGCCGTGTGGCTTCCGTCCCGGCCTCGCCGCTCCAGGTCGTCTCGTCGTCCTTAACCGCCTCCGCGCCACGGGCTGCTGCACCTGCGACCGTCGCCGTCACCGTCGCCATCGCTGCCAGACCTGGTCGACACCAGCGACGCTTCTCGTCTTCCAAACCTTCCAGCTCCGACAATGGCCCCAAGGACATCCCCCGGCCATCCGCTGTCCCGGCCACTGCGTCTTCCCGGTCCGGCGAGTCCAAGTCCAACGGCGAGAAGAGGAAACGCAAGGCCAAGGATGCCGTGGCTTCTCCGAAGTTGCCCAGCGTGCCCAGCACTCAACATCTTTCCCAAGAAGGTAAGCCAGATTTTTTTTTCTATTTCATTTTTTCTTTTCCTCCTCTTCCTCTCCCTCTCAATATCTATTCGAACGGTGATCACTGACAACACCAAACCCCGTCTATAGCCCTCGGCCTTTCCACCTTCTTCTCCCTCCACCGCCCGATATCCGTCACCCACAGCATACCCAGGACCATAAGCGACGAGACCTTCGCCTCCATCTTCGACAAGCGCTCCAGGGCCGGCAACGTCTCCGAGGTCATCAGCACGCTGTCCCGGACGGCCGACGAGCTCGACGGCGCCATGGCCAAGATGACCATCTCCGACCACGCCGAAGCCGACGCCCACGCCCACGGCGACTCCGTCCGCAAGATCGACCTCAAGCACCCCGACGGCAGCGAGTCGAGCGTCTACGTCCAGCTCAACGCCATGGCCGGCCAGTTCGTCCCCTTCCGCCCCCCGCCGCTGCCCCAACCCCAACCGGCGTCGGCGTCGGCGGGTCAAGACGAAGCAGCAGCCCAGATGATGGATGCCGCCGCCGAAGAGCTCCTCGACGAGTCCCCGCAGCACCGCGTCTACAAGGCCCTCTTCACCATCGAGGAGTCCACCGACCCGGACGGCCACGTCCGCGTCGTCGCCCACAGCCCCCGCATCGTCCAGGAGGGCGCCGCCCCGCGCTCCTTCCTCGAACGCATGGCCCTGCGCCAGATGCGCTTCCAGGAGGCCCAGGTCGCCCACGACGACGACGACGACGGCGGCGGCGCCATGCGGGCCATCAGCGTCCGGCGCCAGCGCAAGCTCAAGATGAAGAAGAAGAAGTACAAGAAGCTCATGAAGCGGACTCGCAACCTGCGACGGAAGCTGGATAGGGTATAAGGCATGGAAACACCGTGGACTTTGCAGGCTTCATTCCTTTTTTTTTTTTTTTTTTTTGTTGTCTCTTCCCCCTCCTTGGTCTGTCTCCGGCATAATCTCATCTGCACAAGCAAGGGTTCTCTCTTCATGCTCGATTTTTGGTGTTTTGGGGGCTCAGGACATTTTTGTTTTCCCCTCGATGTGCAGATGTGGCATCCATTGCATAGGCGAGCTTCCCGCTCTCGTGTGTCGTCTCTCTTCATAGACTGCCACACGGCATGCGACGTCAAATCAATGGCTGGCATTTTTCTCGTCAACAATTGTCTGATGCACTAGCTGCCCCGGGTCGACCGTTGGATATGCTACACCCTTGGACGTCTTCCGATGAAGGTGTGGCCCGAGTCATGAGCTTGTGCCGCTGTAACATAATGTAGTGTACAACAGTGTATGTAGAGTTGCATGAGTTGCGTCGCCACTTTGGCACTTTACGTGAGGCTGAAGACCCCGAGTGATGTCGGCTTGTCATTGGCTCACAGCCACCCCCACGTCTACAACATGTCTCCACTCTAAATGTCCACCGCCCGGCAGAAAATGTTCTCCGCCAAAATTTTGGAATCCCATACTGCAGAGAGCTCAAGCTGCGCTTCAGAGAGAGAGAGAGAGAGAGACTGTGTGTGTGTGTGTCTTTGCGCGACTGGTCCTTGTCCGCAACTCCGCAACAATCTTTTCTAGCGGCTCACCACAGCCCTATCTACTGTATTTCCTTAGTCCTCCAAGATGTCACGGAAACAAGTGTAAGTTGATTCCCCCACCTCAATTCCCCCCCCCGTGTTTTGTCAATTAGGAAGAAGGCCTCTAACGACGACGACCCGACTCTAGAGATTCGCGCATCCCCGCGCTCATTCGAAATGGCATACAAGAGAAGAAACGCAGCTTTTTCGTCGTCGTGGGCGATAATGCCAAAGATGCTATTGTCAAGTTGCATTACATCAGGTCCGAAATGGACGTGAAACAGAACAAGTCGGTGATGTGGGCGTATAAGCACAAGCTGCTAGGCTTCACAAGGTATGTCCAACAAACTAGGTGGATACGAGACGAAAAGAAGAAAAAAAAATTGCCTGCTTGGTTGCATGTGTGCGGTCTTTGGTGGCTAACATGCCCCCCCCCCCAGTCACCGAAAGAAGCGAGAGGCCAAGATCAAGCGGGAAATCAAGCGCGGCATCCGGGAAGCCAACGCAGAGGACCCCTTTGAGCTCTTCGTCTCCCTGCACAACATCCGCTACGTGTACTACAAGGAGACGGAAAAAGTCCTCGGCAACACCTTCGGCATGTGCATCCTGCAGGACTTCGAAGCCATCACCCCCAACACGCTCGCCCGGACCATCGAGACCGTCGAGGGCGGCGGCCTCGTCGTCCTCCTGCTCAAGGGCATGAGCAGCCTGAAGCAGCTCTACAACCTGACCATGGACGTGCACGCCCGCTACCGCACCGAGGCCCACCACGACGTCGTGGCCCGCTTCAACGAGCGCTTCATCCTCTCCCTCGGCAGCTGCGACTCCTGCCTCGTCATCGACGACGAGTTCAACGTCCTCCCCATCTCCGGCGGCAAGTCCGTCAAGGCCCTGCCCCCGCCCGACCTCGACCAGCCCAAGACCGCCGCCGAGGTCGAGCTGGACGGCATGAAGGAGTCGCTGCGGGACACCCAGCCCGTGGGGTCCCTGGTCACCCTCGCCAAGACGGTCGACCAGGCCAAGGCGCTCCTGACCTTCGTCGACGCCATCGCCGAGAAGACGCTCCGCAGCACCGTCACGCTCACGGCGGCCCGAGGGCGCGGCAAGTCGGCGGCCATGGGCGTTGCCGTCGCCGCCGCCGTCGCCCACGGGTACAGCAACATCTTCATCACGTCGCCGTCGCCCGAGAACTTGAAGACGCTGTTCGAGTTCGTCTTCAAGGGCTTCGATGCCCTGGGCTACGCGGACCATGCCGATTACTCCATCATCCAGTCGACCAACCCGGATTTCAACAAAGCCATCGTGCGCGTCAACATCTACAGACAACATCGCCAGACCATCCAGTACATCAGGCCGCAGGATGCCCATGTGCTCGGCCAGGCGGAGCTGGTGGTCATCGATGAAGCGGCCGCCATTCCGTTGCCCCTGGTGCGGAAATTGATGGGTCCGTACCTGGTATTCATGGCCTCGACCATCAACGGCTACGAGGGTACGGGCCGGTCCCTCTCCCTCAAGCTCATCAAGCAGCTTCGCGAACAGTCACGACCGGGCGCCACGGCGGATGTAGAGACCACCGTGGCGGACCGATCCACGGGGAGGGCGTCGAAGGACCAGTCTACGGGATACCAGGCCAGTCGCACGTTGCGAGAGATCACCCTCGCGGAACCTATCCGATACGCCAAGGGGGATTCGGTCGAGAAGTGGCTCAACACCGTGCTCTGCCTGGATGCCACACTTCCCAGGGCCAAGATGAGCGGCCAGGGCTGTCCGGACCCTTCGCAGTGCCAGCTCCTCCATGTCAACCGCGACACGCTCTTCTCTTTCCACCCGGTCTCGGAGAAGTTCCTCCAGCAGATGGTGGCGCTGTACGTGGCCAGCCATTACAAGAACTCGCCGGACGACCTCCAGCTCATGAGCGATGCTCCGGCGCATGAGCTGTACGTGCTCGTGCCGCCCATATCTGAAGAGCACCAACGGCTACCGGAGCCGCTGTGTGTCATCCAGGTGGCGCTGGAAGGTAAAATCAGCAGGCAGAGCGTCCTCAATTCGCTGAGCCGGGGCCAGCGGCCCTCGGGAGACATGATCCCGTGGTTGGTGAGCCAGCAATTCCAAGACGAGGACTTTGCTACGCTCTCGGGCGGCCGCGTCGTGCGAATCGCCACGAACCCGGAATACGTCAGCATGGGATACGGCACGAAGGCGCTACAACTGCTGGTGGACTTCTACGAGGGGAGGTTCACGAGTTTGTCGGAGAACGACGAGGATGAGGCGATGGAGGACCAGGACACCATGCCGCGGGTGACCGACGGCGAGCTAGCCACTGCGTCGCTACTCGACGATAACATCAAGGTGCGGGACATCAACAAAATGCCGCCCTTGTTTGCCAAGCTGTCGGAGAAGAAGCCGCAGGCGTTGGACTACGTGGGCGTCGGCTACGGCCTCAACCCGCAGTTGCACAAGTTCTGGAAACGGGCGCAGTTCGCGCCGGTGTACCTCAGGCAGACGGTGAACGACTTGACGGGCGAGCACACGTGCGTGATGATCCGGCCGCTGGAAGCCAGTGGCGACCAGTCATGGCTCGGGGCCTTCTGTCGGGACTTCCACCGACGGTTCTTGTCGCTGCTCTCGTATCAGTTCCGGGCGTTCCCATCGGTCATGGCGCTGAGCATCGATGAATCCGCCAATGCGGGAGCCAAGCTGGATTCGCAGGAGCCGACGTCACTGACCAAGGCCGACCTGGACGGGGTTTTGACACCCTTCGACCTCAAGCGCCTCGAGTCGTATGCCAACAACATGCTGGACTACCACGTCATCCTTGATATGATGCCGACGATTGCTCACCTCTACTTCACGGGGCGGCTGAAGGCTGATGTCAAACTGACGGGCGTGCAGCAGGCCATTCTGTTGGCGATCGGCCTACAGCGGAAGGATGTCGATGCGATCAGCGACGAGCTCAACCTCCCGTCGCAACAGGTCCTGGCCATGTTCATCAAGATCCTGCGCAAGGTCACGGGGCACTTCAGCACGCTGGTGTCGGAGGCGGTGGCTGCCCAGCTTCCGCAGGGCAACGCGATAGGGGTCAGCCGGGAGAACGCCACAGGAGTCCACGAGGACGAGAAGGTGGACGAGCGGTTCGTGCCCCTGGAGACGACGCTTCAGGACGAGTTGGAAGAGGGGGGCGATGAGGCTCTGCAGCAACTGCGCAAGAAGCAGCGGGAGCTCATCGACTCCCTACCCCTTGACCAGTAAGTAGTAGCAACGAGATGTGCCCTCTGCCCCTTACCCCCGAACTACCCAACCCCAATCTAGTCGATCCACGTCGATCTATCCTCCCCAATTATTTCAGGGCGATGATTTTTAACAGGAATGCTTGCCTCTAGGTACGAGATTGAGGTCGACGCGCCGGCGTGGGAGGAGGCAGAGCAGCAAGTGCTCAACGCGGCCAAGACGGGCAAGAGCAGCGCGATAGTCAGCGTGAAGACCAAGGCGAAGCGCAAGGCGGGACCGACGGCAGCGGAGGTGTACGAGGAGGCATTCGGAGAGAAGTCGAGGAAAAAGGCAAAAAAGTCGGGAAAGAAGGCCTAGATAATAGGTGAGGACATCTCCTATGGCCAGGCCCTACGATTTCGGGTATGAATAGGGGGAAGATGAGTGTAACATCCATATGTCCTGGGCCTTTGCTTGTCCCTTTCCTCATCTCCGTTATGTTGGTATGGTTTGCAAAAAAAAAGGTCGTCATTTGTTCTGTCGAGGGGAGTCCGGAGTCATAGAACTGTGTTGAGAGTACCCAGAGTACCCAGATTTAGAAATCGACATTTCTCACCGAGGTCTGGCCAAAGAGGCTTGGGCTTGGAAAGCGACATTGCCACTATACTGTCCCATGTTGTTGAACTTGAACAGCCATTTTCAGTCATGTGTGTCGCGATGAGGCTGTGAGGAGGTTTTCTGGCAGGTGTGGATGGCTGTTGAGCGTTGGTATTGCAAGCCGAGTAGGTAAGCTCAAGCTTTATGAAGAGACTGAGTCCAGATTGTGACGTCTTTAGTCGTGCCTTCCTCTCCTTTTATACCTTCGGAGTATACGGAGTGGCCATATCTACTACTGGAAGGAGCTACCTGGACTATTTACTATGAGTTCTGCCTTTATTCCCTTTCCCTCTTTCCCTCTTTCCCTCTACATTCCCCAGCGACTTCCCTTCTTCTATCTCGGAGAGAAGAGGGCAAGAGCAGCATTGCACCTTCCAGGCAATCAGCAAAACATCCATGCTATCACACATCATATCCACACAAGACCGCGCCTGTCTACCTACTTTACTTACCATTCATTACAGATGCTATCCCCAGTATCTACCTTATCTCCTACTAACTTCCTCTCGTTCAACAGTTCGAGGTAGCCAGGGTAGACAGTTCACTTTGGCTACCTTACCTGCCTTAACCTTCTACTTCTTTTTGGCCAGGTGACCTGCCCCTTGTTTATTTTCAGTCAACAGCATCACAAACAGCAACAACACAAACAGCACTTTACCCGTAGTGCCCTCCAGGCTCCATCATGACCATCACGACTCTTAACCCAATCTACCATGACCTCCTAGCTCCTACCACTACCTTAGAGAACCCAGCAAGATATTCCACTATACGCGGTGTCTTGGTTCGCACAGCATAAGGCGTCTATTATCACTGTTAATCCACCCGGCCAGAGGTTCTTGCCTTCTTGCCCCCTTGCCCCCTTGCCCCCTTGCCTCTTCCCACGCAACAAAATACCCGGCAATGATACAGAGCCTCAGTTTCCCTCTTCTCCTGAATCACGCCTTATTGTTACTCCTGTTACTCCGCTATACACAGTCGTCCAGACCTCACTTTGACGGACTACAACCAAGAACACAACTTCTTTGACACAGCCCACAATGCCAATCAGCCTTTGCCGCACTACCTAACACTTCACTTGCGCTATCACGACCCGTATTCATACTCTGAAACGAATAATAAGATTCACGAGTAGAATACACCTGAACTGCGCAGTGGTAAGTTGACATACGTTAACAAAAACCACGGAGAATGGAATAACTAATGAAAGTATGAAAGTCACGGCAGGTGCGCACATGTGTACCGATCACAAATAACCATGTGCGTTGAAGACTTGGCCTACTGCCCCTTCTGCGGCTGCAGACGCCGGATCAACTGGACCCGCTGCGAACTATACGTCAAGGGTTTCAAGGTGGCCTGGCACAAGCATACCAACATCTTGGAGAACCCATGCTTTCCCAACCCGGAGTTTTGTCCCCGTCGCCGCAAGAACTTGAAAGTCCCCATCCGCCCCGGTGCCTGTCCGTGTGGCCCTGCCGTTTTTCGGGAGACGAATGATGGAGGTGACTGCAGCTCGCAAGACGCTTGCAGTTCCCTGGACGACGACATCTCGCTGGATGACGACAGCTCCCTATATGACATTGTAAGCCCTCGATATCTCAATGGGGTCTCTCAAGACGCCAAAGGCAGCACCCGAGACGGCAATGATGGAGCCACCGACGAACCAGAGGGCAGTGAGATGTACAGGTACAAGAACTGGTGTGATAAAGTGCCGCTCTACATCGAAAGGGACCCCCCCACAGAGAAGAACGAGGATGAGGATGATGGCCGTCACAAGAACCCGTCCGGTGTCGTCTCCGGCTGTCTTGGCCACCAGCTCCGCGCCGCAATGGTGATGCAGAGGAACGGTGACTGGGAAAGGACTTGGAGCCATCGCGCTGTGAGACTCCGAAGGGGTCCGAGTCGAATGATCGTCCTCGGAAGGTGGCCGGAAGAGGACGCGCTGCAGGTTGAACCTCGACGCAGTAATGCAACACCCTTGCCTAACGGTCAGACCCGGGAGGGCAGCGGCGGCCAGAAGGAACTCGAAAATCAGAAAGATCGAGAGGACCACGATGATTCGGATGATCAGGATGATCAGGATGACCAGGATGACCAAGATGGCCAGGGTGGACAGAGAGGTCAGCGCCAACCGCCTCCCCGGCCAAATGCCCAGCGGCGAAATACCAACCAGGTGCAGCAGGCTCAGGGTGGCGCTCGAGCAAGGGCTCAGGGTGGCAGGCACATCAGGTGGGTTGATGACATGCCGACTCGACGCCATCCGTATGCCGGACAGGCCGGACAACCTGGACAACTCGCACAGCCTGGACGACCTGGACAGCCCGGACAAGGGCAAAATCATCAAGGCGTCGGGCCTCAGACCCCGACCCAGGACAACAACCAAGGTCCCCCTAGACAACGCAATAAGATAGCGATTGTTCGGCCGGGCGGAGTGATGCGTCACAGGACTTTCAACGGGCCGCTAGTGTTGCCCCGACGATAGACATGGGAGTCGACTGAAGTCCCCCGGGCCGGCACATACAACTTCCGCAACAAGTGTCGCATGGTTCATGAACATTTTCGCTGCCGCCATGGCGCGTAGCTTTGGGTTCGGATGCTTTGGAGAGGGGGTTGACGAAATATGATTATGGCAAATGCGTGAGATACCCCTGGATCTCTGTCTGGGTCGAGATGGAGATCTCTACGAGAAATGACAGGAATGACAGGGGACCGTTCGGATAGTCTGTTCCACAGACTCTTAATACTTAATAGCTAATCGTAATTCTCGATCTGACAACTGTACTCTGGGTAAACACTGAGCAGGGGTTGTTCTTACTCTGTTACATGGCCTTGGTTACTTTGCTTCGAGGTAGCCTGAATAAAGTATTGAACCAAGGTGACACTTCTTCCAAACGCAACGTCGCAACATGTGGTCATGGTGTTCCTGTATGAAGAATCTTGCATTCGGCACGATGTAGAATTTGGAACTCGCCTCGTTGTTCGTAGATAGGTTAGCACGACGAAGACGAAAGAAATCTAGGGGATAGTGAAACACTGCGGTAGGAAGACAAGACGCGGAAATGAAGAAGGATATATGATGGGCCACAAAACTAAAAAAAAGACTATGTTGCAAAGCAGTCATGCCAACGCCCGTGACGCTGAAGGGCACAGAAACAGAATATCGAGAGGAACAAACGCCTTGAGCAAGTCAAAAATATTCCCTCCGCGAAAAGACTTGAATCCAGCTGAGCCCAAAGATGAGATGAGCAGTGTAGGATGTAATGATGGTGCGTTGTATACCAGCGGACAGCGAGCTGAATAGGTAGGTAGGTAGTTGGATGGGATTCGCTTGGGATTGACATCCATGTAGTCTAGTATTGGTGATTGCTCGACTCAAAACCTCAAGGGCGCCCTATTCAACCTGCGGGCAAATCTCACGGCGGCGGCATCGCGTGCCGCATTGGCGCCTGGTTGCCAATCTGGGCCTGGCCGTACCATCTTGTCTTTGAAGATATGAGGCATGATGTTGCCCGTATCCACTGGAACGGTGTCGACGATAGGCAGGGCGGCGAGGTCGATGCTGCGCTTTGCATTGTTGCCACCACCACCACCACCGCCGTTGTTGTTGTTGTTGTTGACGACGAAGTAGACGACCACCACGACAGCGATGATAACAAGAATGAGGACTTGAAAATCAAAAGAAAGTCAGCGATCAAGGTTCAACGAGGATCCAGACAACAGAGACAGACTTACCGCAGATAGCCAGGCACCACCACTTCTTCTTGCGCGTGGACCTTGCGGTATTGACGGCGACGCTGATTTCCTGGTTACCCTTGTCCAGGTTCTCGGCGACCTCCTCGCCCTTGGCCTCGATCTGGGCCACGGCTGCTTGCTGCTGGACGACTAATGTGTCCATGTCCTGGAACATCTGAGCCAGCTCGACCATTTGTTGTTCGATGCGCTGAATCTCGGCGTGACGGTCCTGGACGGCGGTGAGGGCGGCGCGAGCGCGGCCCTGGCGACTGCTCTGCATGAGAGCCTGGCTGAAGACGGCGCCGCCATTGGGGTCTTCGACGGCCTGGCGGACCTCGTTCTCGTCGGCGTCGGGACGCACGATGCGGTACTGGCGAGCCATCTGGTCCTGGTTCTTCTTGCGGAAGCCAGCCTCGATCTGCTGGTACTGCTGGATGACTTGCTTCAGGCGGCGGTCGACGCGGCCGACCTGCGGGCTGTTCTTGGCGCTGTGGGCGTCCGGGTTGGACTTGACGGTGCGTACGCGTTCAACAAGACTGCGGTACATGGTCATGGTCTGGGAGCCGAGGGCATCGAGTTGGCGCTTGGTGGAACTGGAAGCTGAGGTGTCGGCATCGGCGAGAGCGCGATCTTGGAGCATGCGTAGTTGGCCGAGGTTCTGCTCGACCTCGTCGATGCCCTGGTCAATGGAGCGGCATTCGTTTAGGATGGCGTTGGGATCGCCCTGCCCAAAACGACCAGCGTTCTGTGCCAGGGGTGCCATCTCGACGTTCGATCCTGTCCAAGAATTGTTAAAGGTTGTCTTTGGATAATTTGGTGTGCACGTATAAAGGGAAGATATATGGAGACATACCACCATATGGACCGTAGTCATTTCCACCACCAAATGGTGCACTGTAGCTTGGGGGACCGCCATAGCCGCTAGAGGGCGGAGGATCCCGTTGATCAAAGGGGTTCTGACCAGCTCCATATCTGTTGTATGGATTCTAGTCAGTGCACACGTACGAAGCAAACGGTCCTCGGTCGTCGTCGATGCAGGTTGGGTGGGATCGGAATGGTCCCGAAGCGTAGAATGTGACTTTGAAATACGTACCCGTACTGGCGATTCAATGTGTGTTAGTGAGGGAAGATAAAATGCGAGTGGAAGAAGCCGGTTGAAGCTCTCCTCGTGTGGAGGAGTGGACAAGGCCGGGGGGTAAGGCATGAGGGCACGGGGGGCTGAAACATACACTCATCGTGGTGTTGATGGAAGCGCGACGGCCTCTTTTTGCAGGACGTTGCAGGTATTCGTAACTACCGGGGTTGCGTCGGCTGTAGTGAGAAACCTCTTATCTCGTGGATGTGAGGAACAGGGCAGTCCGTCTTCGAAAAGCGTCGAGTCAAAATAACGACGGCAATGTGGTTGTCGTGGGAAGGGAAAAGCAATGAACGGCGAGATTGGATCCAGGACGAGTCTGGTGCAAGTGCAAGTAGGGATGGACGTGTTGTTTGTTCTGGCCAGGGAATTGGCAAAAATTAACGGGAGGAGCCCCTGACGGTCGGCGCAGAGTCGGGTCGATTGGTCGGAAGGATCATCGGGAGGTCGAGGTCGGGAATAGGTATTTCGAGCCAACAGACAAGACAGGGTCGGGTAGTGATAGATGTGTAATTAACTTCGAGGTAGCTTGGCTGATTTCGAGTCGCCAGTAGGATAAGGAAAGGAATAAAAGAAGGTAGTGGAGGAATATTAGTGGAGGCCGATGGTCAATACGTGAAGATTCAGTAGAAATGCTAATCATGCAATGGGAAACAGGAACAGAGAAGAGGAACAGGAAATGGGGAAGTCTAAGATGTGTAAGAAGTATGAAGTGAGATTGGAATAAAGGAATGGGGAAGTAAGAAAATAAGGTAGGTACAGGGGGAGGGGACGAGGGACAAGTCGGGTGTCATCTCGAGCTCGAGAAGGAGCACTCGACGTCGCAGTTGCCGCGTGGGAAACGTGAGAAAAAAACAAAAAAAGGAGTCAGCATCGTCTTAGCACCCGTTTTGGATGCGACAGTGGACGGACCATTGGACCCTGAGACCAGACAAACCGCGTTACAAACGCCAGGGCCACCGAATCATATTTCCGAATGGCGACCCCTGGCCACTTCGTCAGGGGGTAGGACCTACCCCGTACGGTGTATAAGGTACAGTATAGAAGCAGTTTTAATACAGTCGGTACGACCGTTCATGGTCTATTTCTGGTTCAAAGTTCAAAGTACCTGAATTACATAATCGAGAAAGCCGTGGTCTCCGAACTCTCATCATACCCTACAAATTGCATTACTTCGAACAATGCGTGATGAAACAGACGTTGAAGAATATACCCACCAGCAACTGTAGCACAAAACAACCGCACTCGAATATCAAAGCTGTGAAAATGGACAACAAACAGATCACCATGAATGACAGCAGCACCCCGCCAACCCATTGCCGCAAAGACTCCGCCCATCTTATCTTATCCACACCAACATCTAGCTGAACTTGGTGATGATCCACCTTTGCCAGTCAGCCCCTCCGCCGCCTTGGCTTCCGGTCCGCAAATCCCTCACTCAAAGTCTTAATTTTGATACGTTGTATGTGCTCGATGCTCAAAATAGTATGAAAAATGAAAATCATGTCGGCGTTTGTCATTTCCCCGGTCGCAATAGTAGCAACTTGACCACCAGCCTTGGTATAGGAGCTGGATAAAGATCTCGGCCATCACAAACCCGGGACGAAACCTCAGTGTTGTGTGGGAGCGTGAGCCCTAAGTTCTAACAATGGTCGTCCCCAACGGATCACCCTACGCTGCCCTTGAGCATCACTTAAAATCACTTCTTCCTCAAGACAGCAAACGCTCGTCTCTCGTCAGTTCCGTGCTCCCTACGCTGATCGATGCTATCGCTGCCGTTTCCAGCACTTTACAATCCTCTCACCATGTCGCTCTCGTGGGCACCGCCAATGCTTTCGGTGACGATCAGCTGAACATTGATGTCTCAGCCGAGAACATCATTCGGGAGGCCCTCGCTCGGTGTCCCGCCATCGCCGTTGCCAGCAGCGAGGAAGACCCGATCGAACGCCCGAATGCGACCCACAAGGCCACCGCCGAACCTACTCAATCTGCCGAAGGATCGTCGCCGTCGTCGGCTGAACAATACACAGTAGCCTTCGATCCTCTGGATGGAAGTTCCATCATCGCCCCGAACTGGTCCGTCGGCACCATCGTAGGCATCTGGGACGGCACCACCGCCCTAAACCAGGACCCCGCCACGAAGCAAATCGCCGCCGTCCTCGGCGTCTACGGCCCCCGGACCACCGCCATCATCGCCCTCCGCATTCCCGGCCTCCCACCCGCCTGCTTCGAGGTCGGTATCGACCCCTCCGGCTCCGTCCACCAGATCATCCGTTCCGGCATCTGCCTCGCAGACCCGCCCTTCAAGACCCGCTACTTCGCCCCCGCGAACCTGCGCTCCGCCGCCGAGGACGACCGCTACCTGCGCCTTGTCCAGCGCCTCATCGTCGAGAAGTGCACCCTCCGCTACTGCGGCGGCCTCGTCCCGGACCTGGTGCATGCCCTCGTTCAGGGCCACGGCCTGTACGTCTCCCCCGTCACCGGGTCGACCAGGGCCAAGCTGCGCCGCCTGTACGAGTTATGTCCTGTCGCCTTGGTCATGGAGTGTGTTGGGGGCAAGGCTGTCGACCCTGCCAGCGGGAATGGTATCCTTGAGAGGGCCGTGGCTGATTGCGACGAGAGGGGCGGGTTGGTCTGCGGGAATCGGGAAGAGGTTGAGGCTGCCATAGAATCTTTGCTTGGTTAGACGACAGGGGGAACGGGCACTGCGGTGACACGACGCCGTACGTAGAGGCCAGGTTGCGAGACCGAGACGGGAGCCCTATAGAATTGATAGAAGTTTAGAATATCCATCGCACATGGTTAGAAATACCCCGTGATGTTAGGAAATTATGTTCATCGCGTTCGTAACTTGTTCGTCGCAAATTAGGCCAACCATGCTCTTGAGCGTGGTCTTATGAATCCCCCGTAACACCCCCGTAACACCCCCTTAACGCCCGGCTCTAGTGAGACAATACTAACCAAGCGGAATCCTGGCAGTGTGGTACAAAAAAAATGCAGTGTATCGATATATCCCTTCCCCGCAGTGCCCCATACTATCCAGTCCTCATGAGTCCTTCCTCTCTGCCTGGTCCTCCTCTTTTTCGGTATCCAAGATCGTCGTCCCTGGCTGCAATTCCGGTCCCACGTCAGACGGATCCTCCTCCGCCATTCTCACCCATTGCTCCCCAGCAGCGGTAACCTTCCTCAAAACCGACATCTTCTTATCAAACTCATCCATGAGCGAACCGTAATCCTCCTTCGTGTCGGGCGCATCTTTATCCACGGTCCCGGACAAAGAAAGCAAGCCGGCCGGGCCCGCTCCAACGGCGTCCTCCTCCGCCAGCTCCACGCCCTCAATCTTCAGCATCAGCGCCCCTCCGTTTGAAACTTCCTCCTCTTCTCCCCCCCTGCCAAGGCCCGCTCCACCACCGCCGCCCCCGCCTCTCCTCTCCATCGCCGCCAGCGCAGACGACGACTCTTCCATCCGTGTGATCCGTGCTTCCGTGACCGCAAAATCGGGACTCAGGCTCGAGACCGAGGCAACGCGCCATTGCGTACCGGTGTTAACACCACCGCCGCCGCCAGCGGCTGCTGCTGCTGCTGCTGCGTTATCGTCGCCTTCAGCCGTGTCAGGGACGACATCGACCAGAATAGCGTGGTTCTTGCTTCTCCTCCCCGGGGCCTCGCCTCCTTCCCGTGCATATATCGAAGCCGAGGGCGAAGAGGAAGACAACTGGGCTTGTTGTCCTCGATCTTGATGTTTCGCGTCGCTGTCGTGGGCGGCGGCGGCGGCGGCGAGGGCTGCGGTGAGGGTCGCGGGGTCGTCGTCGGCGAAGATGTAGTGGATGCGGGGATGGCGGGTTGATTGCCAGGGACCGGCGGCGCCCGGAGCGAGCGTGGCGCCGAATTTCGTGTTTGTTACCAGGGTGAAGAAGCCTGGGGGCTCGAGCTTCGGGACGGGTTGCGGCGCGGCGGGCGCTGGCTCGGGAGACTGCGGTTGTTGTTCCTCTGGGACGCCTGCCGGGGAAGGGGACCCCCGTGGCGCCTCCTGAGGGTTCGTAGGGGATGTGGTATTCCCGCGTATGGATGGTTCTTCGTCATCTTTTCGAGTACGTGGGTCGGGACTTGTTCTTGATGATCCGGGATCTGCCATGGTGGGTGTCTGCTGATGTCGAGACGTGGATGGCAGATATATCGTTGGATGGAGCTTGACACTAGGCGGATTCCTCTTTGGCAATGACTCTGTGCTCGTGGTATACCTTCATCCTTCCATGCCGTAAATGTAGGAAAGGTTCAGAAACTGGCAAACGTAAGAAGTGGTTGATGAAGCAGAGAGGGCGGTCTTTCGATGAAGCTGGTAAGGCAGGGGGGCGGTTCGGCTTATCGATATCGGTTATCGTCAGCGATGTCGGTCTTGGGAATCATTATCGGCACGTGATGTCGCGCTTCTGTCGTGACTCCCAGGAACAGAGGGATACGGAGACCTTACAACCCATAGCGTCTCAATCCGGACGACGGGAACCAGACAACTTCAACTTAATCGACATGAGACGTCGTCATACAGTAGGTCATGATTTATTGGAAGTAAAAACTACAGGGTATCATCGATTGCCCCCAACACCAAAAAGAAAATCAAGACACCCTCCGAAGTACGCGACATGACCGAACGAACTACCTGGTAAGAGGAACAATTTCACTCCTCCGCCTCGGTTTGAACGGTCGACTCCTGTGGCTGGTCCGCCCATTCGAATCCTAGTTCCCAAGTCAGTATGGTATTAAACATGCCAACACTCGCGGCCTGGGGGAGCGGTCCATACGTTGTCGGCACATCGGACATTGTCCCTTTGCTGCGTCTTGCTTGATCCATGTCATAATACAATGCTGTAGTAACCAGTCAGACATTATGAGATATAAGATCATGTCTGTGATGAATGCCTGTCCATACCATATGGAAATTGTGACCGCATTTACCGGACACTTTATCCTTCCGATTAGCTGGGCAGCTCCATATTTCCCTCCAACCCCGGTAAGTGGAACATACAGAGCCTGCAATCATCTCCTGGATATTTGCAAGTTGGGCATGTGCCGTCAAAATGAACTTGACAGATGCCACAGACGTCGTCTTCGGGAATATCCCATCGCCAGGTCGCGACGGTATCCCACCGTGTAATGTTGACCTTCATTGAGATAATCTCTTGGTACTGCCCTAGGGACGAGGGCTATTGGATTGTTCGGTTTCTTAAGCCACTTCGGGCTAACGTGCTTTTTCCGAAGTAAGTGTAAATTTCGTGTGGTTTATTTCGTACCTCTTCGGAGGGCTTGACATCGATGGAAGATACAGCGGCATTGAGTGAACGACAAAACTAAGCCTGCTGAGGCTCGTGAATAAGGTAAGGTAACACGAGGCACGGATATGGATACGTACCTGTACGCAACCAATCCGGATACGATTATCTGGATTAGCCTTATCAGCGCGAGGGAAGATCACCTAATGCGACCCACCCGGCTTCGTACATGTGCGTAGGGTGGTCCTAGCTTCCGGAGTTTCGTCCTCTCCGTTGAACCGACAACCCCCAAAACCGCCCCCCTTGCAATCAGACTCCAACTGACTCCAACGAACCACCGAGTGCCCTGTCCCGCTCCTTATCATCACCATCTTTTTATCTGTCAATACCTCATTAACTCGTTCGTCTGCGTCCCAAACATTCCGTGGGCGCGATGAATCGTCCCCGAATTCCTTAGCGACCTTATTAAGATTCAACCTTGCATTGCGGGTGGCTGAATTCTCTGGCGACTGACTTTGCCTGGCGGCGTCGGCTGTCCTTCTATAAAGCAATCGTGCGGCGGACCTATTCCGAACTACCCAGCACCTACCTCGTCACCTAATTTTCCATCACCACGTCCCGCCCAGCATGGTGATCTTCCTCAGCCGCTCGGCTCGAGCAAGCATGTCCCAATGGGGCGCCAGAGTCTTCCAGCCCGGCCTCACCGGCACGCGACGCTCCTTCTCCTCGTACCTCGTCTCTCCCAAGGAACTCCACAAAGCTCTCAAGAAGAACCCGCCCAACAAGATCAGCACCGATATGCGCGTCGTCCCGCTCTGCGCCGCCTGGTTCCTGCCCAACGACGGACGAAAGGGCCTCGACGTCTTCATCGAGCAAAGAATCCCCAAGGCCAAGTTCTTCGACCTCGACAAGGTCTCCGACCAGAGGAGCCCTTACCCCCATATGCTCCCTTCGGGCAAAAGCTTCGCCGCCACCATGTGCGAATTGGGAATCCGAAAGGATGATACAGTGGTCGTCTACGATACGAAGGAGCTGGGCATCTTCAGCGCACCCCGCGTCGCCTGGACCCTCCGGCTCTTCGGGCACTCCAAGGTGCACGTCTTGAATAACTTCAAACTCTGGGTTGAGCAGGGCCTCCCGACGGAGACTGGAGAGATCTACGACGTTGAATGCTGCACGTACCCGATACCCGAGTTGGATTCGGACAAGGTGGCCGACTTTGACCGCGTCCGCGAGGTCGCCCTGGACAATAGCAAGGACGGTGCCGAGGGTGTCCAGGTTCTGGATGCTCGGTCACCTGGCCGGTTTACGGGGAAGGACCCCGAGCCCCGCCCTGGCCTTTCATCGGGCCACATGCCCGGTGCGATGAATATCCCCTTCAACGCCGTTCTCGACCCCGAGACCAAGGCGTTCTATCCGTCGGACAAGCTCCGAAACATCTTCAAGGAGAAGGGTGTCGACCCCGAGAGACCCGTCATTTCGAGCTGTGGAACCGGAGTTTCGGCCTGCGTCCTCGATACTGCGCTCGAGGTGGCGGAGTACGGTAATCCCGAGAAGCGCCAGGTGTACGATGGCAGCTGGACGTAAGTGCTCTCTTCTGTTGGACGTTGCCCTACAAACTGATGCTGATGAATGTTATAGGGAATGGGCTCAGCGAGTGTCTGATTCCGATTCATTGATTAGGAAGACTGAGTGAAGCTGGAGTTATGGAGGACCAATAAAGTGAGGTTGCCGTCCCCGTCACTTCTAATGAGCGATCGTCTCCTCCCTCCTGAAAGTTTGCTGTATGATCACGATATCCCGGGTCACATTCCGGTGATCTCTTCCTCTTGAAGGCGACACAATTGGCCGGATTCACTGCTATATTTCTGGGAACGGCCTGTGAAAAGGAGACGGGGCAGTCTATACTCGTTCTTCTGTTTGTGCCGTTTATGGGTAGGCAGAGAATTCTCATCCATCATGGCGCCTTGGAATACTTCGGGGGAGCGCGACTAATAAAGTTAGGTGTGTGGCAGAATTTCAAGCTTTTTGTCTGTGATATATCCGTAAAATATGCCTGGACTCGTATGTCCTGTAAGGGGCATCAGTATCTAAGGTACCTTGCGTATTCTAGGTAGAGCCCGTGAGGAAGGCGAGTACTTGTACACGAAGTACCAGGCTTGTTCGTACTCCGTAGGTAGACTGATATCTGAGACCTAAGGTGAGGAGTGCTCGGTGAGCGTGGTCACCGATACCAAAGTGGGTCCCAAGCCATAACCAATTCGCACCAATAAGAGCGCCTGAATTCTTAGGCCACACGGGATTAGGGCTCGCAACTGTAACCCGCGACCACACCAAATTGTTTGAGCCAAACAGAGTTGAGTCGAGGAAGCCCCCCGCAAAAAAGTTGGCCGAAATTCTACCTCGACATCTCGCTTGTGCCGACACTTGAACGGAACCGCAACTCGACAGCACACCTCCCACCACCCCCCGACGACAACCCCCTTTTTTCCACAACAGTCGACCATCACAATCATGGCTGATCGAGGCAGCGTTGCCCCTCGCGGTGGAGGTTTCGGTGCCCGAGGTGGCGATCGCGGTCGTGGCGGCGATCGGGGTCGTGGCCGTGGTCGTGGACGCGGCCGTGGCCGTGGCAGACCCGACGAGAAGGAGTGGCAGCCCGTCACCAAGCTCGGCCGTCTCGTCAAGGCCGACAAGATCAGCAGCATGGAGGAGATCTATCTGCACTCTCTCCCCATCAAGGAGTACCAGATTGTCGACAAATTCGTGCGTAACCGACCGAAGAAGAAGAGGGCCCCATTGTCCGTTCCGTGGGGAGGGTAGAATATACGACTGACTACATTTTGGGAGTTTTTAGCTGCCTACCCTCAAGGATGAGGTCATGAAGGTGAGAATGCCCTCTGGAAACCCCGAAATAGAGGGGGGAAGGGTCAGATCCGGGGGAACATGCTTTCTGACGCATATATTTCTCAAAAACAGATCAAGCCCGTCCAGAAGCAGACCCGTGCCGGTCAGCGTACCCGGTTTAAGGCTATTGTCATCATTGGCGACAGCGCCGGCCACGTCGGTCTGGGCATCAAGACTTCCAAGGAAGTCGCCACTGCCATCCGCGCCGCCATCATCATCGCTAAGCTGAGCGTCATCCCCGTCCGTCGTGGTTTCTGGGGTACCAACCTTGGTCAACCCCACTCTCTTCCCTGCAAGCAGTCGGGCAAGTGCGGTTCCGTCACCGTCCGTGTACGTAAAAACCCCCTCTTCCTCCCCGAGGACGAGGTTCGACCCCTCCTCAATCCCCGCAGACACGGGATGAGCAAGGGAGAGGATAGGCAGGATGGACAGGATGCGCAGAAGATGTATTAGGGAGACGAAGAGAGAGCTGATCGAACTGACGAAATGCTTGTTTAGCTCATCCCTGCCCCCCGTGGTACTGGCCTCGTTGCCTCCCCCGCCGTCAAGCGTCTCCTCCAGCTCGCCGGTGTCGAGGACGCCTACACCTCCTCGGCCGGTTCGACCAAGACCCTCGAGAACACCCTCAAGGCCACCTTCGCCGCCGTCGCCAACACCTACGGCTTCCTCACCCCCAACCTCTGGAAGGAGACCAAGCTCGTCCGGAGCCCGTTGGACGAGTACGCCGACACCCTCAGGGCAGGCAAGAAGTACTAAGGGAAGGGAGATCAGTAGGGACGGGAATGGCACGTGGGAAAAGGGGAAGGGGTTTGTTACACCAACGGAGTGGCGTTCCTCTTTTGCGCGTATTTTGACTGCATCGTCAAGGGTTGGCCAGGGCATGAGAATTACGGCTTATGGACTAGCTCGGATCTGAAATACACACACACCGGATCAATTTCACCACCGTCCTCGTTTTGTAGTTGCCGTGCTCCTGGCTTGGATTCGATGCTTGTCATTCTGCGGGCATGCGCTCGAGGGGACTGAGATTCCGACCGGGCTTGGCCTTGCGAAATGCCACCGCCAGATGGAACATCCCCTTGTTTGGAGGCAATAAGCGAGTCCTCCTGAGTCCGCCATAAACGGTGAAGGCAGCACAGCCTACTTCGAGATACGGGGGAGGGTTTTTGATGTGCAGAGGAAAAGGCGTAGCAACGACCCTGGTGCCTGGTGCGTTTCTCAATGTTCGAAGAGCAAGCAACGACAGGGCCAGGAGAGAGAACATGATCCTGAACTCGAAAGTATGGTTTTCCGATCCAGGAAACATCGGTCTCAGCGGTCTCGGCCTCTTCATATCTTAAGGTACGGGACGGTGCACTAGGATCGATAGAGCAGCTTCAACTCTTTTCACGGTGCTGGGTTCTAAGGCGATTTAAGAAAAGGAGAGGTTGGTACAAGATCACATACCAACCACTCCTTGACCAGAGTGCTACCTGACTGAGAATCTCATCTGAGAGCGTGCGCCGCAGATTTTATGTCCGGACGTGAGTCTGCACATGGCTGGAGCGTCCCTGCGTTCAAGTTGCTCTTGTTTCACGGACCTGGGCCAGGCACGAAGGGGGCCTTATAGATCAACGGAGTGTGCACTGCATTGCGGAGTGACCAGGATAGAAGGATTCTGAGGAAATATATTCATGTTTCTGTCACTCCATGCTGCTATCAGACTCGCGAACGAGAAGAAAGGGCCCGGTTTCTTGAGATGTTTTCTGAAGAAGAAAAAAAAAATGAAATCGCTGTTATTGAAAACTCCCAGCCTTGATCGCCATGACAGGCGGGAAAGAAAATATGCGCCAAAACCACCGAACTCGTTTCCATGTTGTCGTTTAAAATGCGAGCATGCAACTAATCCTACAGAGCAACCGTCGCATTCTCTCCCGTATGCATAGGCACGATATATCCATGAAGTCCATCCCAAGCCCCTTTTTTCTCCGTCCGGAGGTCAAGGTGATGATCCGATGTCCGATGCAACCATCATTGAGCCAAGAAAAATATATCTTACAGCTTCCCATGCCCCATCACCTTAGAAGCCCAGGAGGCCGTTGAAGAGGTCAGCAGCAGCCGCGCTCCTGTCGCCAGAAGCCTCGACCTGGGCCTGAGCCTCCTCGCAGATGGCGATGGCGGCGTCGTTGGCCTCGCAGACGTTGATGAGCTGGTCGCAGATGCGGTTGGTGATGATGTTGGGGTTGAGGGCGTCTTGCTGGCCCTCGGCGACCAGAGAGTCAATGGGGAGGAAGGTGCCCTCGTTGGCGTTACGGTTGCCACGGCCGAACTGGAGGTCCATGCGGGGGTCGCAGAGACCGAAGTCGGCGCCGCCGGCACCATTGCCGTTGCCGTTGCCGTTGCCGTTGCCGTTTCCGTTGCCATTGCCGTTTCCGTTGCCGTTTCCGTTGCCATTTCCGTTGCCATTGCCGTTTCCGTTTCCGTTGCCATTGCCATTGCCGTTACCATTGCCGGGGTTACCACCGCAGACAATCTCTTCATCGTCGATATCCTCTTCATCCTCGTCATCCTCGTCATCATTGCCATTGTTTCCGTTGCCATTACCGTTGCCATTTCCGGCATTGCCGCCAGCACCATTGAACGGTTGGCCATCAACAGCCAAGTTGGTAAAGCCATTGGCGATCAAGACATCCGCAACAGAGAGGCCGTTCGCGTTGAAAGGGTTCTGCAGCGACTGGGCAGCAAGCTGGTTGGCCAGGCCGGAATCCTCAACATCCGGGTCAACAGACGGGGTGATGCCGCGAAGGGCCTGGGTGGCGGGGAGGCTGGGGTCGCCGCAGATGTTGGGGATGTCGGTGGCGAAGGGGTTGAAGTTCTGCTCGGCGCCGACGAGGCCGGCGGCAGCCTGGAGGACGGCGTCGTCGTTGCCGAGGGTGGCGACGATGTTGTCGGCGAGACGGAGCTTCAGGCACGGGTCCGCGGCGCCGAGAAGCGTGCCGGGGACCTGGCCGGCGAGGGTGGAGGCCTGGCCTGACTGGCCGAACTGGCCGTCGAGAGCCTGGACGGCGGCGACAGGGATTTGTTCCTGACCGAAACGGGCCTCGACGTAGGCCGTGATGGCAGCGATGAGAAGGATCTTGTAGGTGAAAGACATTTTGACGAAGGGATTTTTTTTGGGAGGCAAAGTTTCCGGTTTGGTTTGGTTGGTTTATTTGGTTATGGAAAACGAAAGAATCGAAAATGGGTTATAAAGATTGTGGTTGAAGAGACCGGCTCGCGGTGGTAGTAGTTGGATAGTTGGCTTGCAACTGAGAGAGTGTAAAAGAAGTGAAGTAAAAAAAAGTTCACAGAACTGAAAGATTGAAAGAAAAAGAAAGAAAAAGAGAAAGACGGAGATGACTTGGTAAGGCTGCTTGGTCGGATGAGGATGGGAAAGAAAAAGAAGAAGAAAAAACCCATATGGAATGATGGGAAGGGCATGTTTAAATAGAAGATGGGATGAAGGGAGAGACGTAGCAATAGACGGAGTTCGGGCCGCCATTGGCATTGTTTCCAAGGAGACTGGTGAGGATCATGAGGACGCAGTGCCAGGGTTCTCTTACCTGGTTGACGATGATATCAAACACAACTAAGACGGGTTTGCCGCATGGACCCCAACAGAACGACTAGCCGCATCCAGAGAAGGCCAACCAACCCTGGTTCATGTCTGTCATCCCATGTCTTGTCCCTGGCGATCTGTCTCTGCCACATCCCCGGCCAGGAGGCAGATCGTCTGTTCCAGCAGAGAGGCTTCTGAAGGGTCAGTGGATCCCCAAGAATAGACTCTGTCTCGAGTGTATTGCGGTACGATCGCCCGTGTTAAGCGCGTGGAGAAGGGGGCAAGAACCAGTCCAGGGGGTTGAGTGGGATATCCAGATGCTCCAGGTACCTTGCAATTTAGACATCATACCATATCCTGAGCCTCAAGCGACCGACGGACGGAATCCATCACGACCATCTGTTTCCTCTTCTCGGTATCCGGGACACGGTATCGAGAGTCGGTTCATCTATAGGTAGTGGCAGACTTTCCTGGCGAGTGCTGTCTTGATGAGCGAGCCCTCCGTCGCGGCACCATCTACTGTCTCGTCGTTCTTCCAACCATCGAACACGGGGTTATGAAGTTGGTTGCATTGAGCATGGGGTGAGCCTCTGAGAAGCCAGGAAGAGGTTATAAAACGTCCGTGCCTGTCAATACCCTTTTGGAAGGCGGTCAGAGAAGGAGACTGAGATTCAACCCCACGGCCCCACCCGGATACCGAGTATTCCGGGCGCTAAGTCCGTAAAGAGACAAGGAAGACCCAATTAGTGGTCCCTTTTCTTAGTCATCTACGTCAAAGTTCCCCACAAATCCCTTTCGATCAAACGCGGCCTGGGCCTCATCCAGGGGGAGCCCTGAGACGTCTTCAAAACCGAAACCGTCTCCCTTTCGTCTCGTGCGCAAGTCAGTGCGTGGCTAATAAAGAAGGGATGAAGCGACAAGACAAGGGTCGGTTCTTCTCACCGCTTATTCGTTCTCTGGTCTATGCCCTTCGTTGGTCTGGCAAATCTCTGTTCGGTAGACCTCACCACAACCAAAAGACAACTATATTATATGCGCCGACAACCTCTTGGGATGTTTCTTTCTAGAGGAGTGACTCGTCCGCCGGATCCCCTGTCTAACCAAGGAAGCAGTGTAAATATCAACCCAAATGTAAGGTCTATGATCCAATGTCCCACTCCCGTAGGACGCAACAGGCAGATATCATATATAATGGGGTCGTAAAAGCCTTGACACCTCGTGCCTGGTGCCTGGAGTCCTGTATTTTGGTCTGTCGCCAGATAAATGCTCCTTCTAAACGCTGGTGCCACGAGTGACGAACCACTACTTGGATTCGTCTTTGCCCCATCGTGCCGTCTCGTCGCCACCCTTCCACTCTCTTTCCACGTAGCCAAGTTCCTGCTTGACCTTCTGGACCGTCTGTTTATCGCCCGTATTCTTGCCGATATTATCGCTACCGGAAGCAAGCTTGGGTTAGTGACCACTAGATTTCGTCGCTACAAAAGGACGGTTGGCTCACCTAATCTTGACGGCGGGCCTACCGGCCGCTGAACTCAGCTTGATCACGATATTGAGAGGAACCGACTTGCTGCCGTCCTTCAACCGGACAAAGTCGTTTGTCAAAAAGGTCCCCACACCAAACGTGGGCGCGAACCCGGCGTCTTCCGAAATCTTCTTGTACTCCAGGCAGCGTTCGATGTTGAGGGAGTCCGAGAACACCATGGTCTTCTTCTCCTTGATGCCCTGTTCGTCGTAGTATTGACGCAGCATTTGCACATATTCGGCAGGGTCACCCGAATCCTGCCGAATGCCGGCGAAGAGCTCGGCATATGTTTCGGTTCTGCCGCCCGCCGCCTTGTGCTTGGAGTCGTCCCCCGTAATGGGCTTCACGGGCTGGCTGAAGGCGCGGAGGAACTCCTCCGTGCCGAACGTGTCTGTCAGGGCGATGCCAAGCTGTCCGCCAAAAGCGTCGACCCAGTAGCGGAGCGCGGTTTCGGTCGCATTCCTGTAGTCGTTCGTGATGGCGGCAATGCCCATGAACCACTCGTGGGCAACCGTGCCCACGGGAGGGATACCGAACCGCATGGCGAGGTGGACATTGCTGGTCCCGGTGAGCTTGCCCGGCAGTCCGCGGGCCTCGGCTTCTTTGCTGGCCTTGGAGAGCCCCCGGAAGACGAGCGCTTGCGTGTGATAGTCGCGGCGGCGGCGGGTGCCGAACTCGGAGAACGTGCAGCCGGCCTCCAGCAGCTTGAGGCCCTTCTCGAAAGCGCGCTCTTCTTGGCCCTCGTAGCTCCAGTCCGTGTCCATGAAGCGGAAGTAGGCCTCCGACGCCAACGCGAGCATGGGAATTTCATAAAGAATGGTCTGCGACCAGGTGCCCTTGACCTCAATGTGAATATCGCCCTCGTCCGAGTCGGCACCGGTGTCGGAATCAGACGGAGTGAAGGTGATGACGACTTGTTCGCGGGGGTCTAGGCGGAATTCCTTGAGGAAAGCGAGGTAGTCGGAGGTCAGGTAAGGGCAGTGGCTGCGGAGGTAGGTGCATTCCTCGTCAGTTAGGGAGATGTTGCCGAGCTCTGTTAGGACGATAGGGAGGGGGTCAGCGGCCATTCTCACGACGTGGTTACTCTGGCAAGGGAACGAAACATTCTCACTTTGGACCTGCTCCTCTAGCCAGCGGAAAGCGGCTCTTGACAGCTTCTTCTCAGGCGTGCGGTTGGTAAAGGCGTAGGTAACAGGGACATCCTTGAAGTACTTCATGACGGCGCATTGCATCGTCAGCTTGTACAAGTCGGTGTCGAGGAACGAGATTACGCCCTCCGGGTAGGGCGAAGAGCTATTGAAGTCCATGGCGGCCATGGCAGTCAGGTTTGGCCGCGTGACCCTGGAGACGGTAGCAGCCAGTTAATCGGTGCGTAGGTGGGCTGTGGATGGTTCCTGTCAATGTTTGACAGGCAATGGTGGACGGAGGCTCGAAGTGTAGGCTGCGCAGTAGTGTGAGTGCTATGGGGAAGTGGAAACGTGTAGAGGGGAAAGTAATCGAGGTTTTTTTTCCCCTGTCAAGAGAGACGCAAGTAAACGCGGGCAGTACTTCATTCATTAAGGTACCTACCTACCTTATGGTGTAATGTCTTGCGCCTTGGGATATCCTTATGCAGGAACTTAATATGGTAGACACGTTGGAATGTGACGCACCTTGGGGGGGAAGAGGGGGGCGGGGTGACACGAGTTAACAAGGTGTGGTTGCCTTGGCTGAACTTCGAGTGACCAAACCCGCGCAAATGATTGAGCACTAGGTCAATGTCATCAGCCCGTCACCGGCGTACTTTGTAGTCCGTACTGCTGCTGCTGGAGGGGAAGGTGGGATGGCGGGGCAGTTGCAGGAGGTGCACGGACCATACCTTAATCATCCCCCGGCCTCTTCATGCCCCGAACGCCGACAAAATTTTTGGGCGGTTGAATTGTCAATTTTTCGGACGGGTCAAAATCTTGAGCTACGACTCACGGCTCTTCATCTTATCAGCTCCTAACAACTTCAGCCCAGCTTTCACCGGCTCATACAAAACTCTCTGCTCCGGTGATAGCTCAAGCTGGTTCGTGTGGGTACATTGTACAGTCTATTTTAACACCCATTGATACCCCGAATTCGAATTTTCCGACCGCCGACCGTCGTCCTCGCGCAGCGTCCATCACCATGGACATTCACCGCTGCCGCTTCGTCGCCTTCCCTCCCTGTCCCATCAACGCCCTCGCCTTCTCGCATCCCCATACTCGGACAAACCTACAATCGAGCCTTTGTCGTTTAGCTGTTGGCCGCGCCAATGGAGACGTCGAGATATGGAACCCGCTCAATGGCGCCTGGCATCAGGAAACCGTCATGTGTGGCGGCCAGGATCGTTCCATCGATGGACTTGTCTGGGTTGTAGAGCCCGACGAGGAACTGCCGACAGCCAATCCTGACGCTGGGCATGAAAAGTCCGTTATACCCGGCCGCTCTCGCCTCTTCAGCATTGGTTATACCTCTGCCGTAACGGAGTGGGATTTGGAGAAAGGTCAACCCCTAAGAACCGCCAGCGGTCAACATGGTGACATCTGGTGCCTCGCCGCTCAGCCCCCCGCGTCCGCTGCTCTGGGTAAAGGAGGCCACAAGGCCAGCGCTGCTGCCGCCGCCGCCGCCGCCGCCGCCGCCCAACAGCAACACCTCCAGCACGGCCCTGCCGATGCTGTCACGCGCCTCGTTGCTGGCACCATCGACGGTGCTCTGGCCATCTATACCATCGCCGACTCGGAACTCCGCTTTCAGCGCTTGCTTACCAAATCGCCCGCTCGCAAGACTCAGATGGTCAGCATTGCTTTCCAGTCCCGCGACGTTGTCGTTGTCGGCTGCAGCGACTCGACCCTGCGCGCCTACGACATGCGCAACGGCAACCTGTTGCGCAAGATGACCCTCGGATCTGATCACGCGGGCGGCTCCAAGGAGATCATTGTCTGGTCGGTGAAGTGCCTGCCGAACGGCGACATCGTCTCCGGGGACTCGACTGGCCATGTTACCGTCTGGGACGGCAAGACCTACACCCAGATGCAGAGGATACAGAGCCATCGCCAGGACGTCCTGAGCTTGTCTGCCAGCGCTGACGGCTCGGCCATCCTGAGCGGTGGGATGGATCGGAGGACTGTCCTCCACAAGAGGATGGCGGGTACCGCGGGGAGATGGGGGAAAGTCTGGAGCAGGAAATACCACGACCACGACGTCAAGGCCATGGCGTCGTTTGAGAGCAGCAAGATGAGTGTTGTTGTGTCGGGAGGTATGACTCGGCTGTTCTCTTTCTATTTTTTTGTTTATTTTTGGCCCCCAATTTTTCATGTTACCAGTTGTTCGCCGGGATTCCTGATGCTAACTGCTTTCTCTTCTTCTCTCGCCGCCAGGCCCCGACGCCTCGCCCGTTGTTCTTCCCCTGAAGGAACTCGGTCGCGAAAACCACCGCACCCTGCCCAACCTCCCGCAACAGCCGCCGTTGCAAAGCGCGGCGAAGGCTCGCCTGATCATGAGCTGGTGGAACCAACAAGTCCATATTTGGAAGCTGCGACAGCCGTTCGATAGCCTCTACGACAATGCCAACGGGAATATGACCGGCGAAGACCTCGACAAGAACCGGAAGCTCCTCAAAACCATCTTGATCAAGGGCGAGTCCAACATCGCGTCGGCGTCCATCTCCCCCGACGGCGACGTACTCGCCGTGGCGACATCGACGGATGTAAAGGCTTTCTACCTCAAGCACAGCAACCCGTCCAAGCCGTCGGACATGAAAGTTCTGCCGATGGTTGTCCCTTCGGCCATTGCCGGTGTCGGGGCGCGCCTCGTACAAATCTCGCCGGACGGCGCTTGGCTCGTCGTAGTCCAAGCGGGAAATAAGATTTCCCTCCTTCGACTCGGGCATGGCGGTAACGCCGGTTCCGGAGAGCGCATTCTCTCGCGACCGCAAGCAGTGACGCGCATGAAGCGAAAGACACCTAAGAATCTGGTAGTAGGCGGCTTGGGGACTTACGACAGGACCATCGTTCACGTCAGCTTTGCGCCCGATAGCCGGATGCTAGCTGTTGCCGATTTGGCGGGCTACATTGACACGTGGGTGTTACGCAACGCCGTGAATGAAGACAAGGAGGGTCGTGAGGACGCGTCAGGCTCTGCCTCCGAAGAGTCGTCATCTGACAGCGAAGACGATGACGGCGGCGACGACGACGGCGGAGCTGATGAGGTTGGATCACGGGAGAAGTGGTTCCACACACCAGCATCTACCCTTCTGCCCAAGCTTCCCTCGCCTCCGACCGTGCTCTCCTTCTCCAATGACATCCCGTCCGGGAATGCCTCATCGGACTACACCCTCCTTGCCGTCACGACTTCATGGCATATCCTTGCCTTCCACCCGGTCGAAGGGGCCCTCGCCCCCTGGTCACGGCGCAACCCCGTTGCCCGTCTGCCGAACACGATCCGCGACACGCGAGACCTCGCCAAGGGCGTCCTCTGGCAGGGGGCTCGCGTCTGGGTGTACGGCGTCTCCTTCCTGTTCATGCTGGACCTGTCGCAGGACCTAAGCGAGCCGAACGCGGGCGGCAGCTCCTCGGCCCTGGCCGCCCAGGCGGGGCAAAAGCGCAAGCGGCGCGGTGGCGGCGGCGGCGGCGGCGGCGGCGAGAGCGGTGCCGGCAACCGCATGACGATCGGCGCGATCGCGCCGGCGCAGGTCGACCGGTTCACGAGCGACAAGAAGGAGTGGCAGCTCGATGTCGAGAATGCGGCGCCGCCGTCGTCGGAGGGTAGCGACACGGATATGCTGGACGAGGACGACGAGGACGAGTCGGGAGACGAGAGCAATGCCGAGGGGGAGGGCGGTGGCGGCGCGGGTGGTCGGAGCGCTGGCGGAGAGCTGGCGGCTCTGCGGAACCGTGACACGCAGATGGACGGCAGGAGCGGTTCCGGACGCAAGAGGTGGTGGTACACGTACAAGTATCGGCCCATTCTTGGCATCGTGCCTCTGAACATCCCTGGCGAGGCCTTGGACAAAGCTAATGCCGGTGGTCAAGAGGCAGGCGTGCCGCCGGTGGAAGCTGTTCTCGTGGAGAGGCCCATCTGGGACGTGGATTTGCCGGAACGGTATGCCACTGCCGATGAAGCCGAGCGGTGATGGGGGAGATGGGCTAGGGGCGTATGTCTGCATGTACATTGGCATGTTACGACAACGCGGCATTCATTGTTCATTGTATTGTTCCGAAGGGGAGGAGACACATTGAGTGATGTGCATGGATCAACTTTGGTGTTGGCTATCTTGCTTGTGAGAAAAACGGAAAGAGGAAAAGGAGGAAAAGGGGGGTTGGGGGACGTGATGAAGCCCGAACCAGGGGCATGTAGACGCAGGCAGTACATTCGGAGGCAACTTTTGTCTATAGCTTAAGGCCCGCTGTGACCTTGAAATGGGTCATATTGAATATTGGCTGTTTTTTTCAACCAGCCTGTTTGCGTGTCGTCCATCTGACATTGGGCTTCCACGGAAGTGCTAGGGTAAAATTCCTCTCCTCACGACGGCAGGGATGGAAGTATCAGGCTTTCGGGGGAACACGACACGCCTAGTCTAGTATATAAGTCCTTGACTGCGACTTACAGTCTACGTACGACCCTTTTACGCTCACGGCCGAGACAAGTTTAGCTACGGGACGGACCGGTAGTTAGTTACTGTTGAATTCACGGGAGCGTGCTTGCAGGGAGCGTTGATTCAAGAAATATATAATTATATTATATATAAAAGAGAAAGAAAAAAGGGGGCGGGTATACATGTCCTAAATATATCTGCCACCTTCTAAGCGAGGATAGTAGGGCACCTCTAACTAATAGGAGGTTATTATACCGTGGCTTATATAATAGAATATAATGTACCCCTTAATTATTATACCGTGATTAGCGGAACGATTACTTAGCCTAACCTTAACGTAGCCTTGTTTTTAACCTTAAAATAGCCTTAAAGGGTCGTGTAATACCCCTGATATCGAGTTAAAAGGCAGGAATAAAAGCTATAAAATAATAAAAATTATAATAATTATAGTAAATAATAAAGGAAAAGTGCTAGTAATAGCCGTAGTAAATAGATGATAGTAGGGCCTTCTATAGATAAATTAAAGGCGTTATACCGGCGTTTTAGAGCTTTTGGATCCTCCCTCTTATAACCTCTTATTCCGTTATTTTTTAAGGAATTTAACGATCTTAATCTAATTTTACCGATTTTTCTAAATAATAGTAATAAAAATAATAATAATAGCGATATAGTAAGTATCGGAGCTTTATTTTTAGTAGCGCGTACTAACTAGTAGCTTTATTTTAGGCTCCTCCTACTCTATTTATTATCACCTATACCGCGGCCGCTAAGAAAGCTTCGGCTAATAGTGTAAAGAAGAATAAGGGTAAGGCCGGCACTAAGAAAGGTGCTTCTATAAGTTATTCCGGCGTGTTAGTCTACGATATCCCTACTTTATTCTAGGCTAACTCCTTAAAAGACTACTAAGGGTAATAGAAATAATAATAATAAGGATACCGCCGATAATTTTATACCGGTTTTATTCGACCCTCCCTGCCTAGAGTACGTAAAGGGTATTTATTCTAGGAAATAACCCTTATTTAATTACTATATTTCCGTCCTTAGGCGCTCTAATAGGTGCTAAAAGTATAAGGATAAAAACTATATATACTACCCTTTATAAGTTTTTACCCCCTATTTAAGGCGTTTTACGATTATAATCGTTTACTCTATTTCGTATTAGCTTAAAGATATATACGCTATTAAGCTTTACGACCGCTAACCTATACTTATAGTTTTTCCGGCCTTATCTCCTTAATTAAAATTTTATTCGATTACGTTATAGTCCGAAAAATTAATAAAGATTTAAGCGATAATAATAAAAAGGTGCGTTTATCGCTTTATTTCTAAATTAGAATACTCTAACTAACTATTTCGCCTAGTTCTTTACTAAACTTAAGTAAATAGTGAAGTTTATGATTGAATTAATAGAGGACGAAGAAAACGAGAAGTTCTTTAAGGAGGCGGAGCTTAAAGGAGCTTTTAACTAGGGTCCTAGTACGCTAACTACTACCTCTACCTCCTAGCTTATAGGGGTTATAATAGATATTCTACGGGAAAATAGTTTTATTATTACTCCTCCGGCTAAAGGAAATAGCGTAAATATTACGCAGGATAATACTTAGGATAGTATTAATAGAGCTTAGTAATTTAGCTAGTATACTCCTTTTTATATTTTAGGATTTTCGGATTTACTTTTAGGGTTTAGTATAGTGTTATAGTATTAAGATAACGATATACCCTTTTTCTTACTAAATTAACTAAACCGCTAGCACGCGGTATACCTAGGGCGCGGGAATTTCGACTTTAACTACTTCTTTCTACCCCCTCTATATACTAATTATATTAAGATATACTCGGAAGTTCTTAAATTTTTATCGTGGAAGTGCTTTTATTAATCCGTCTGCTAGTATTAAATTCGTAGTAAGATATAAGACTCTGAATAATCCCTTTACGTTCTCCTACTTTACCTAAAAGCGCTATATATCTATATAGCGAAGCCTAGTCTTAATCCTAAAGCTATTATCGACTATTAGGCGTATTGTTTACGTATTATTATAATAAATATCCTAAGGAGATTCTAGATTAAAGCGTATTTCGACGAAAAGACGCTTTAAACCTATTATTTCTTTCGCCACTTACTCTAAAGCGAGTAGCTTTACTTCGGTTATAGACGTTATTACCGTTACTTACCTTATTACTTTATATATAACTAATCTATTAAATAGGCTAATAAGGTAACCCTATAAAGATCTTCGTATATCCAAATCGTCTATAAAACAGGCGTCGCTTATAATAACTATCGCCTATAAACTAATACTCGATCCGTACTAAATTAAGAGGTCCCTTATTATAAATAAATAGCGGATAGCTTAGTCTACCGCCTTATAGTACTCGGGAAAAGGGTTTCTAAGAAAGCGGGAGAGGATAAAGGCGGCGAATACTATATTAGGACGTATTATAACTACTATATAAAGTATTAATCTAACCTTTTCTTAATAAGATTTAATTTCTTAAGCGGTAGCTTCGTCTTCTCTTTTCCGGTATTTTATAATAAGAATAAGGATTACTAGGTAGGTATTTAGAGCGTTTAATTTAAACCTAGCTACGATCTTTTCGATATATAAGTCGTGGGAGAGGAAAACCTTATATTAAGGGCGATCTCGAGTCATCTTAATACCTAAAAACTAATCGGCTTCCCCCTTTCCGATACCTTAAACCTTATTTTAATCCCTTCGATAATCCTAAGGCCGTTTATAGCACTATCTCTATAAATTAATATAAGAATATCGTCTATAAAAAAGATAACGATTACGTCTTAAGCCTTAGTATAGAATAGGCATTGTTCTTCCTTACTAGCCTTTATCCCTAAGTCTATTAGGGTGGCCGCGAAGGTCTAGAATTATAGTCTAGGCGAGTCGTGTAGTCTATATAGTGCTTTATCGAGCTGGAAGCACTTATTAGGCTACTTAAATCTATTAAGAAGTTTATATATAATAGGCGTTCTTATTATACTCTTTTAGGCGTTAATGAAGGCGTTACCGATATTAAGTTACTTAATTTCTAGATTAAACTAAGTAGCTAGGGCTATAATAATACGAAAAGATCGTATAGTAAGTGTTACTATATAGGTTCCCTTAATTATTAAGCTCTCCTATAAGTCCCCTTAAATATATAAGCGTGCCTTATATTATTCGAGATATCCGTCTTAGTCGAACTTATAGGTAAAAACCTACTTTAACGGAAAAGACTTTAACTTCGCCTCTAAGCGCTTAATTTCCTTTTATATACGCTTCTTAATTAGCTTATTTACCTCCTTCTACGCGGCTTCCTTAAAGCGTTTACGTATCGGGTAGTTAGTAAGCTCCCGCTAATACCTTAGTATAGCCTTTAGGTAGTCGCAATAAACCCTGCTATCGATTAAGGGCTTTAATAACGTTATAGCCTCTCTTTTAGTATTTAAACGGATATTTATTTTAGTATCGGCTACTCCGAGGATTATTAAATTAAAGGTTAGAAGCCCTTTTAGCCTATCCTAGCGCTTTTCTTATTAATTAGATAAGAAAAAGGTATAAGTTAAAGGCTTATCTAGCTCTGCTTAATATATCCGTGGATTAATCCGAATAGTCTTTCCTTAAGCACGGCGATCGGTGATTCTTACGCTAACACGCGTTATTTCCTTTACTAGTATACTCTTTTTCCTTTAGTAGGCGGTTACCTTAGGAGTCGGTTAGATAGGTGGTCTAGATCCGAACGCTATAATACGGCTAATACCGTGGTGCGGATTAGGGGTAGCTAGTCCCTATACCGTCGCCTACGTACTTCTTTCTATAGTTAAAATCATCGAAGTATCCGTATTAAGCTCTAGTATATATAATCCTAGCGTATCGATTACGGTATCTTTTTATATAGCCGCTCCGTTATCTTATTAGTCGGAAGAACTATTAATTAAGAGTTCCTCCAAAGACTATGGCTTTACGCTTATAACCTAAAGATTCCTGCTTTAAGGATTAGGTATTACGCATGGGGTTTAGAGTCCTATTACGGGCGGTTCGGGTATACTAGGTATATTTAGTAGTAGCGATAAAGCGTCTAATTTAGCCTTTACTACTCCTACCCCTAAATTCAAACCCGTGGACTATACTTATTCTTTAGAAGGTACGCTATTAATTAATCTACCCGGAGGATAGGCCTATAGGATAAAATCGTTATCTTTATCTTCTTATATTTTATAAGTTATAAGCTAGTTCCTCGTCTTAGGCTCCGGGATCTATTCTGCTTCTTTAAGCTATAGTTTATAAAATAGTTACTTGTTAAACTATATATTACGCGTTATAATAACCTTTTAAAGCTATAGAATCTATACTCGGTAAATATTATAGGTAATATAACCTATAAGATGCCTAATATATCCCCTTAATTAAACTTTATATAGTTTTCTATTCCTCTTAGCCTCCTTATCCCTCGCTATTAGATAGGCGCGGTAGCCGTAGGTATAAATACCACTCTAATTAGGGCGTAGGTTAGCTATATACTCTTTTACCGGAATCGGCATATTATCTCTAAAGTATAAGTTAAGGATTTCTACTAGGGATTTCTATCCGTGTTATTATAAGGGACTTATATTATATAATAACGCTACCGTTCTAGTACTTTCTGGCTATTTATCTAGTGGAATTCCTACTCCGTTAAGTATAGTATTAGACTTTATAATAATTAGTTAACCGGCTTTTTCGCTACCTCTGTTCGGTTTATAGGTATAAGGCGGTGTAATTTCTATATCGATCCCTTAACTACTCGCCTATAGCTAGGTTATTAAATCCCCTACTAGATTAACGATTAAGGGCTTATTATTATTATGTATCTTATAGATATATAATATAAACTGCCGATTAACCTATTATTCGAAGGCTTATAGCGCGTTATAAACCGTAACGTTATTTT